AGAGACACTGTCTCCGGGTAGAGTGTCCCATGGGTAGTGTAGCTCACGAGAAAGGGGGGACAGGGCTTGCCGAGCCATTTCACTCTTTGCCCTCCCATCAAACTGCGATCTGACTAATCCCACATGTTCCTTGGCACAATAAACTTAACTATCACAGATTTAAAATCAAATCTGCTGCCATTGAGTTGATTCAGACTCATAATGACCCGACCCTTCAGTGATGCTCTCTATTAGTGGAAAATATTTGAGTTTTTATTTTCGCAAAGATTTCTCCTTACACAGATTCTGCTTTCCTGGGTTGTACGGTATTACATTTATGATACTGTATTGTTTTACCAGTGCAAAAGCAACCTTTAATAGACGGAGTTAGGTGAATCCACAGACCTGAAGATTTAGCTTTGACTAGCTGTTGTTGCTTTTGCTCAAAGTGATGACTTCAAAGGTAGTGCCTATCACCTCTTTGGACTTTGCTCAGTCTTTAAAGCATTGAGCCTCATTTTTGGGCTTAAAAGTTTGTGCTTTTAGGTCATTGTCCAGTGAGTCATATTATTTGCAGTAGAGTTGAAAAGTTATACATAGAAGCTATGCTAACCATATAGATAAAGGATTTGATTTGCTAGAAATTTTGCTTCCAAAAGTTGAACCCTGAAATCTACTTTGGTCAGCTAGGAATGTGACTATTTAGTCTTCCTCTGTTACTTCCATTGTCACCTATTTCGGGGGTAAAAAATGTCATTCTGCTTCATATAATATGTTGAAATATTAAGTGATTTAGATTTTTTTTAAGTTTTAAATAAAAACAAAACTCTTAAGGTAATGTTAAAATTGATTTTGTAATTGTAAAATACTTGTACCTCCAGTTCTTTCTGTTTATCAAGACATTAAAAAAGGCAAACCACAAGTTGGGAGAAGATACTTGTAGTAATTATCAGCAAACATGTATCTTATAAAGTAATAGGAAAAAGGCAGAAAGTCTATCTTAAAAATGGGCCAATAATTTCAGTAGGCACTAAAAAGATACCCTAACTATCAAAAACTATAAAAAGCTGCTGAAATTCATTAGTCTTAGGGAAATACAAATGAATAAAATATCATATCCTCAGCAGGATAGCTAAAGTATATGAAACTATGAACTGTTATATGTTGATGACAGTACATATTGATACAACCAAAGTCGAACATACTCATACAGCAATGTCATTCCTAGATAGTCAGCAGAGCTGCTTACTAAAAGACGTGTGAAAATGTTCAGTTTGAAGCACTATTTGTAATATCAAAAACTGGAAATGACCCAGCTGTTCATCAGTAGTAGAAATGATAAATTGTGGTATATTTTCTCAGTGGAATCTCTATAGTTTTGTTCCCAAAATTGTGACACTTGGATCATATCTATAACCATGAGAATTGAATTAGAAAATGCAGAATCTTAGAACCCCTCCCAGATGTACAGAAACAATGTAGTTTCTTTCCTATGGTCCCCATGTGATTTGTATGTAGGGGGAAAAGTTGAGAAGCAACGCTCCATTAATGATTCTCAGAATTGGTCTCTAACCAACATCATTAGAATAACCTGGCAGCTTATTAGACATGCAAAGTCTAAGTCCCCACTCCAGAACTATTGTATCAGAAGCTCTGGGCTCAACAGTATGTTTTAACAAACCCACTTGGTGATGTTTGAGGATGTGGAAGTTTGAAGATCTGCTTAGGATTTACATTTTTAACAAGTTTACAGTAACATCTGGTCCAGAGTTAAGTTTTGAGTACCACTACTTACCAGGTTGGCTGACTTTCTGTAAAGATCGAGATACATATATTAGACTTTGCAGACCATACAGTCTCTGACACAACTACTCTGCCATGGTTGTGCAAAAACAGTTGTTGCCAGTATGAAACAGGCTATTGACAAATCTTATAGAAACAGCGGAGAAGCTAGATTTGGCTTCTGTAATTTGGGAATCCCTCCTGTATAGCAATGAGGTTTTGATCAACAGCACCTTATAACAACTCTATAGCAGATAAGTAAATTTAAATTCCAATTATACACAAAACATGGAGCAATCTTTTCACTTTGAAAGATGCCAGGTACAAAATGTACATACGATACGATTCTATTTATACAGAGTTCAAAACATATCTGTGGTGGTAGAAATGAAAGAATTGCTACTGGGCTGCTGGGTAGGAATGGTTCTGCTTAGAATAGGTCTTGAGCCGGGTAGGACCATCTGGAGTGCAGATCCTGTTTGTTCTTGAGCCTGGGACTCAGTTACCTGGATGTATTTTACTTTGTAAAAAAGTATGGAGCTGTACATAAGCACTGGTTTATATTAAGGAGTTTCTTTAAAAAGAACTTCAGTTTTGAAAGTTCGTCTTGACTGTCATAGATTGGGGGAAGATGAATTCTGTGTACTCTTGAGACCAAAATAGCACAAGATTCAGAACTGATCAAATAATGTTTGTTAAAAATTGCTGCAGTGCATCTGTTTGAATATAATATAATGCTGCAGATGGACAAGGTGCTAGCCTCTGGAATTAATTTATATCTAAGTGACTTTAAGATAGGTTAGAAATTAGATAAAATAATATAATTTAGAAAAAAAATAATAATATAATTTAGGGTTTGGGTATCAGTATGAATATGGATGTCCCATTAGATTAATTTTCTCAGCAATATATAGATTTTCTTAATACCCCTTGTGGAGATTAGTAAAATAAAGAGTAAATTATTTAGTGCTCAAATTGGTAGCACAATGGTTTGGTTATGTGTTGAGCTACTGACTACAAGGTCAGCAGTTCGAAACCACTAGCTGCTCTGTGGGAGGACAGGGTTGTCTACTACCTAAAGAGCTGCAGTCTCAAAACCTCACAGGAGCAGCTCTACTCTGTCCTAGTGCCGCAATGAGTGTTGTAATAGAGCCATCATTTATTAACCTTTTACTAAGAGTGGACATTTGTAATTTTCTGTTTTAATTGTTATTCTGACTCCTTTCTTTAGGACAGATTCTCAAACTTTTTGGTCTTAGGATTTGAAAGCTCTCAAAAGCTTTTGTTTATAAGGGTTATATCTAGTAGTATTTATTATATTTGAAATCAATGCTGAAATATTTTTAAAAGTATTCTCACTTAAGGTAGCAATAGCATAAATAACTGCTTACATGAAAATAGCTATATTATCCCAAACAAAACAAATTACAAGATGAGTACCATTTAAAAAAATTATTTAATAATTGTTTAGTAAAAGATACGTGGATTCTCATATGTGGTTAAAATATATGAAGAAAATCAAGCCTCCCACAGATACGTGTGAGAAAGTTGAGAAAGTGACGATAATCTCAATAGCTTTTTTATATTACTGTGAATATTTGATCAATACTATAACACAAATGGTATGTATGAAGGATTTAAAATATTTGTTGAAAAATTCAATCACCTTTCCATTCCATTTCTCCACAATTTTTTTGAAGCCCCCTTGGATAAATCTGAAAATATATCGATAAATGCTTCACATTCTATTAGCTTATACTTTGGATTCGTCTTTTATTCCCCTTCATGATTTTATAACATTGTTTATTGGACATTTGGGAAATAGTAGTTTGCTGAGTAATACAAATCTTCCAAATGGTGACACATTTTATTATGAATGCAATATTCATAATAGTTGTACTTGCTAATATTATTGCTGATATAATTTGAAATATTTTTTAAGTATTGGAGACCTGTTATCACACGTGATGGATATGTTTTCCAACATAAAATTTTAATTTTAATTTTAAAATTTCACTTTGTTATTGTCAGTTGTTTACTTACTTGATGTTCATTTTTGAGGAAATGTATGTCATATCTCTAAGTCTGAATAACCAGTTTTTCCATTATTTTAAGTAAAAATGGTGTTCCATTTTAAAAAATGCCTTTTCATATAAATCAAATACACATTTTTTTTGTGCCGTGGGAGGCATAGATCCTATATGTGTACTTCCCTCTTCCTCACATGGATTATTAAAAGGATGGATATTCAAGATAGATTTCATTAAGACAGTTTTTAATGTTTAATCAAGGGCATTCTTAATTGAAAATCACTTTTTGGGAATGCCTGATGATTAAGAATACTACAATTAACAGTACAGTTAGAGTCCCTGTCGTATAATTCCCTTTTACCCAGCATTGATCTGGTACCATCAATGCAAATGCCGGCACAGTAAAAAAAAAAAAAAGATGTATAATATGGAAGTGATTTTCACACGGGAATGTGCAGTTTTAGGGGAGGTTGGAGAATGTCTAGCCTCAGTCTGCCTCAAATCAAGAAACCCAAACTTGCTGCAATAGAGTCTGTTCTGAAGTACCCCTGTGGGTTTCTGAGACTGACTCTTAATGGAAGTTGAAAGCCCTTTTCCTTGAGGCTGGTTGATAGTTTCAAACTGCTGACCTCGCAGTTAACAGCCCAACACAACTACTATGCCACCAGAGCTCCTCAAGGCCTGTAAGATCATCAATATTAGCTAATATCACACAGCTCACTATAGAGAAGCAGTTTCAGCTATCACATTAAAAATTCACTGTCAAGTCAATTCTGACTTAGTGACCCTATTGGACAGGGTAGATAGAACTGCTGCTGTGAGTTTCCAAGACTATAACACTTTGTGGAAATAGAGAGCCTCCTCTTTCTTGTGTGGAGCAGCTTTTGATTTCAAACTCCTGGCCTTGTGGTTAACAGTCCAGAGCATAACCACTATGCCACTAGGGCTCCTTTAGCTATTAAATGTTTGACCAAATAGAAGCAAGTTTTTAGGTTCATAATTTTGTGTGGCCTGTGAATGATATCCAAAAGTTCCCCACCTCTGTTTTAAGGGTGTCACCCTTATCTTCTAGAGATCACTGCACGTTTATGTGTAAAAAAAAAAAAGAATTGAAAAGTAATAGAAATTTTAAATATTGAATGTTTTTAAAATTTTTAAATATTTGTGGCACTTTTCTTCATTTGAAAATACGTTATACCTTCCTTGTAGGAATGCATCCTGTCAGGCATAATGTCCGTGAATGGAAAGAAAGTTCTTCATATGGATCGAAATCCATATTATGGAGGAGAAAGTGCATCCATAACGCCACTGGAAGATGTAAGTATTTGAAGCTCTCAACTTCATCGATTTTGCTTTATTAAACAGAGTATTTGGACACTATAATTTTGCAGGAGCCTCTAGTTGGGGCTTTTACAAAATTTAAATGGTTACCTTTGCAGTAGAATATATGCAGTAGAATGATTATTTATCAAAGTTAATGTAGGCACAAAAGGGTAAATAAAGGATCACCTTTTGATGCAAGTATATGCCAAGCACCATGACACTGCTTTCCACGTGGTCTCCTGTGGAAACTCTCTGATACCTAGTCGAGGTTTGTTTCCCCATTTTCTGATGACAAAATAGACTGTAGGGCTTGATTTGCAAACATGGGTTGTGAACCTAGCTTTTGTAACTGAAACTCTATCTCTTGTATGGCCTTGTTTCCAACCCTACAAACAAAGGCAGAGGAAGTATTTTTTTATGTGTTTTACTAAACAGATTTATGACTAGTTTTCTTTGGGATGTGTTACACAGCTACGTGTACAGATAGACAGTCTGTTGCATTTTATAAGAGAAAAATGTTATTGGAGAATTTTTAACAAATGACAACAGACTTTAGCTTTTATACCCAAAAGTTGAGAATGCATTTAGACTTACAGAAAACCTTCCACCTAGATAAGTCGTTAACATTTTGATACATTTGTTTCATGTCTCTCTCTGTTGTTGGTTTTGATACATTGAAAGTTACACAGGCACCATGATATTTGATCTAAATATTTCATCATTAATCTAAGAATATTCTCCTATATCATCATAGTTTACATTTTTAAAATAAGCATTAAAAAATTCCCATAACCACTTGGCCTACCACCCCCTTTACAGAAAAAAATGTAACTTCCCCTCTCCCTCCCAACTGACATTGCTGTGGTCATAATCCCGGGTAAGGTGTACTTGTCTGCTTTGGCAACCCCTGTGAATCATTCTAGGGCTACGTGGTGGGTGGTATTACCCGCTTTGGGAAACGCTGATCCAGACCACACTCAGATTTCCTCTGCGATCCCAAGACTGACTCTTGGCAACCCTGTATGTTTCCCAGAAGTGTGCTTCGGAGTTTTCAGTGGCTGCTGTGTTTCCGAAGCTTTTTGATAGCCAGATGTCTGTGGGTGGATTCAAACTTCCAGCCTAGTAGTTAGTAGATAAGCGCTTCACTGTTTGTGCCATTTAGGGCTCTTTAGGTCTCCCTTTAACTTGTATAAATTACAAATTAACAGGAACTACTTTTAATCGCCTTTTCTGATTTGAAGAAACCAAATTATATTTTTTATCTTTTTCACATCTTCCCAGAAGCAAAATAAGGTTATTAACTTTTGGTTTCGTTTGAAAAGTTGTGTTTAAATTATTTTTACAGCTAAGGATCTTATCAACAGACTTAATGGGTCAGTGGCAAGTAAGGTTTTTTTTGTTTTTGTATTCTTATTTTTCCAGTAAGAAGACCTCAGATATCTGCAATTTTGTTTATTTAGGATTCATTAAATATTTAAAATACATGTTAAGGGTGCTTCAAATGTTTGCTGTGATATTAGTACCTTTTCAAATTATATGAAAACTTAAATGGTTGCGCTTGCTTTGGCAGCACATATACTAAAGTTGAAATAATATGAAGACTTCAGTTGTTAGTTAAAAGTCTATTTGTGTCCCATGAAGTAAAGAATGTACCTCCCCCTTTTTAACATTTATATTCTATAGCTTAGCAGGCGATCTTTAGGTTGTTCCTTGAATTTAAAGTTAACTTTTTTCAGTAAAAATTTTTGATAACAGTATTTTGTGACCGTCAAGAAAGATTAGAATAAAGGAGGGAAAAGATAATGGCATTTTTCCACGAATGTTTTGAAGCCCTTGCACCTTGGTGGTGCTCTTTGAGTGCGTGTGGGACTGCTGATCTGGAGGGGGACAAAGGCGAGGCTGACTGTCCCCTACAGTTTACAGCACCTCAGAACTCCATGGGTTGCCAGGAGTCAGAATCAACTCGATGGCCGCGGGTTTGGTTGTATGTATTAAAGTTTATCGAGTAACAAAATGAAACTCCTTTGTACTTCATCTCAGGTTGTGGTGTTATTAGATTAAAAAAACACAAAAACCGCCTCATCGAGAAAAATGGCTGTATATCATGTTGAAAATGTTTAAAAATTAATTTATTACATTATGGGTATTTTTTGCTTTGAATTTTAGTTATACAAAAGATTTAAAATCCCAGGATCACCACCAGCATCAATGGGGAGAGGAAGAGACTGGAATGTTGACTTAATTCCCAAGTTCCTTATGGCTAATGGTAAAGAATTCTGATTTAAATTTGTGTTAGAAACTAACCCTTGAGTAGTAGCCCTTGTTATGTGGATTTTGTTGAATGGCCACAGCACATACAGGCTTACAAACGTTAGAAGACAAGGAAACGGACAGAGAAAGTATGGCTCACTGTTTACCGGCTCTGGAGAAATCAAAGAGTGATGAACCAAAGTTCTGAGCTCTTGTCACAGCCTAGACAGCAGTCTCAGACGTGAAGACATAAGGCACGACTGTTATGTTCTTTTCTTTGCAGGTTTTAAAGTGACATCTTTCTTAACCTATTTCTAATGATTTGATTAAAAAAAATCATTTTATTGGGGGTTCATTCAACTCTTATCACAATCCATACATACATCAGTTGTGTAAAGCACATTTGTACATTCGTTACCCTCATTCTCAAAACATTTGCTCTCCACATTAAGCCCCCGGCATCAGCTCCTCATTTTTCCCCCCTCCCTCCCCGCTACCCCCTCCTTTAATTGATTTTTTTTAAGTTGCTGTGATATCAGCTCCTACTTCCAAAATGATATTGAAAAACTATATTAGTTATAGGCCTTCTTGTGTCCCATGGAATAAAGAATGCATCACCTTTTCCTTTTTTTTTTTCAAAAGTTCTTTTGTGAATTAGGTTGGGACAATTTTTTCTGGGTTTAAATTTCTATACTTTATTTTAATAGAAGGAAATCTTATGTGAGTTTTTCCTTAAAAGTTCACTAAAATGTTTTTTTTAAGTAAACACATTTCTTGATTATGTAAACAATGCTTTAAAGTCTTTTGCTTTACATCGCCAAATCTTACCTTCACTGGGACACTACCCCTCTCCTGGTCGCTTTACAAACTGAAATTCCTTTTTTTGGTACTGTCTATCAGTAGAGGATGAAATGATTTCCACATGTTTGTTGTCATTTATTTTTACTGAGTTGGCTACTTGTCCTTACATATTTTTCTAGTACATTTTTTATTTTTCATATTGATTGAAAGAGCTCTTATAAAAGATTTTCCCCTTTCAGGTGTTAAAAAAAATCTCTCTCCCACATTGTAAATTGTCTTACGATGCTATTGCATTTTTTCTGCCCCAAGTTGTTTTTTGGCTTTCCTGTGTCATGTTTGTTCTTTCTTTTTTCCTTTTATGGTTTCTACCTTGGGTAAATTTTCTCCTTACCTCAAAAGTACTAATATTCACTTTTTATGGTTTTATAGCCTCATTTTTTTAAAACATAACTTCACCATATACATATATATGTATATAAAAATTGGCGAGTACACACACATATCTCTTACACTTCCTTGTTTAGAGGTAGATGTGAACATTTACTTTTTTCAAAGTAAATTTCCTATATTTTATCACATTCGGTTTGTATACATGTGTCTCTGTTTTTGACTAATTGGTTTGTTTCTGTGCTAGCATCTATCAGTTGTTGTCATCTGACTGCATAAAACTCATTGTTTCTTGTCCCCCTACTTCCCCCCCCCAAAAAAAATTTTTTTAGTGTTTTATTATAATGTTTAAATGTTTTGATCCCTTTGTGGGTGTGGGGTTTTTCTTTAACAATTTTATTAGCATTTCATCCACCTGTCATACAATTCAATCACATCAAGAAGAATTGTATCATTATCACCACATTCAATTCTAGAACATTTTCTTCCTTGTATTCATTGTCATTCATGTAATTTTTTTCTAATTGTGGCAAAAATATACACAAAACATTCTCCAGTTCCACCACAACTTCTACATGTATAATTTAGTGCCATTGATTATATTCTTTGTGTTGTACAGCCATCATTGAGGGCCTTTTCCATGTTCCTGCACCACCATGCCCGTAGACTCAGTGCCCCTGAGCAACAGCTTCTTCTCCTTCACTCATGGGAACTGCTGGTCAAGTTGGGTTTCTTTCTTTCTTTAGTAGTTTTCTTGATTGTCACATATCATAGACTTCCATGGTTAAATCGCTTTTATAAAGAGTTGTATATAAGTCATCACAATCATTTCTAGTGCTCTCTCCCCGTTGTGGGTGTATAGTCTTATATTGTGTCTATTTTTGTTGCTGTTGAGAACATAAAAGACATAGACCAATATAGAGAATATAATTTTTGAGTTTGGCAGCCATTCTCACACTCGTGATATTAACTCACTGCCCCCTAAGGTTCTCGTGTAATCTTTCAAGTTGTTGTCAATTTGATCCTACAGAGGCAAATCTTAAAAGAGCATAATACTCAATGCAGACCTTGCTTATACCAGCAAAGCTAAACTAAGTTTACTTTAAGAAGACTTCAGGTGATACTTTTGGTTTAAAACATAAAATTATTTCAGAGATTCATCTAGCCTCCATTTTTCCAGAAATTTTAGTCATGAGAATTTGAAGTTCTGTTCTGTATTTCCCCTTTTATGTTCATTATTCTTCTAAGGACTCTTCCATCAAAATATTCAGTAATTTGCTTCTTCCTGGACAAGATAGTGCCATCCACACCACTCCTGGTAGTCCGAGGGTCAGAGGACTTTATATGGTGAATGGGCCACCACATTTTGCAGAAAGCAGTGTTTCAAAGGGAATCCAGGAAAGATTGTAAAGTCTATATCTTAAGTAAAGATAGGAACTTATTTGCCTGGGGCAATGAAGAAAGAGTAAATAGTATCAATGTCACTAACAAGGGCTGCCTTCAGCCTCCCAAAGACAGTGCCTTGACTTCTCCCGAAAAACAAAAAACCCACAAAAATACTGTCAGGGCAACTGCATAAAGCCTACAACTTTATGACACGAAACTGGAACATGTTTGAAGTCTTTCATCCAGAACAAAATGTAAAATTGATGTCCATCCTGGTTGGAAAATGAAGTTATTTGTGTTAGAAATGCTAGCAGTGAAGTTCACATCTTTGAAAACAATTTTAATACAATTGCAAATAAACTGCATTTGTAAAAATTTAATGATTTTGCATTGCTACCTGGACCACAGCCACAGAAGGTCCAGGAAGTAAGGGTGCACTTTTATTTGTTACCCCAACTTTGGTGGCCCTCATGCTGCTTTAGCCAACAAAAGGTCCATTAAGGCCGGCACGGTTACAGTACTGTGGCATGAAAAAGCTACTGTTGTTGTTGGTAATAGCTAAAACAGATGTTGACGAGAGAGGAGCTTCCTACTATGGGGTACCAAAACTCTACTATATTGCAACAAATGGAGAAAGTGCTGTTGTGCAGTTACTAAAAAATGGCCCCATTTATGATGTTGTTTGGAATTCTAGTTCTACTGTTTTGTGCTGTGTGTGTGGTTTTATGCTTGCCAGAGTAACAATTTTCAACCTGAAATGTCATTCTGTGCTTGACTTTAGAGCTGGCCCTCATATGGTTGCTGGATTTTGGAATCTGAGAGGACAAATAGAAGTGTGGGATGTTAAAAACTACGAACTTATTTCTAAATCTATGGCCTCTGGTTCTACATATTTTGCTTGGTGCACTAATGGAGAGCATGTGGTAACAGCCATGTGTGCTCCCAGTCAGTAGCTCTGTGTTACACAAATAACATATACAGTAGGTTTCTTGGCAGCCATTTTTAAGTGGATTATTTCCAGCAAAAGCAGCAACTTACCAAGCACTTCCAAGCGAAGTGCACCGTGAGGAACCTAAGTTGCAGCAGCTTAGAGACTCCCAGCTCTGAGATATAAGCCAGTCTAAGCTCCACGAGGAAGAACAGCCTCAGAATGTAAAAGCACAGTCCGGAAGTGACAAGCTGTTACCCAAAACCGCTCTTAGAAATCAGCAGAAGCATTGAGGCTAAGAAAGTTGCAAAACAGGAAGCATGAAGTGACAGGAGTCCAGATTTGGCACTTAATCCTGTTCAACAGAACACACCACGAAATACTGCCCCACAGTCAGTCAACTGGTGGAGACCCTGAGATAGACTTGGCGGGGATTAAAACCTAAAGAAGAAACTGAAAGCAATTGAACGACTGAAAGAAGCAACAGCAACTGGAAACACACACACACACACACACCCCAAGTTGGAAAAAATTCAAAAAGAGAAAGCTCTTCTCCAAGAGCTGGAAGATCTAGAATTAGGTATTAAAGGGTCCTGAGAAGGACCATGCATTTTCAGTAATGGAAAGCATGTGGAAATCAAGGGAAATAATAGTTTTTGATACATTTATGTGGGACACATAATTCTGGTTACAGGCCTTTTCAAATCTTTGCAGTTAAATGTGGTAGGATTGGTGGGGTGAGGCCCTAATCTTCAGATTCACACAGTTGTCATAGGTTACCACCAGGTGGCAGCATATCGTATATACCTGGCATAGCTTCCTAAAAAATTAGGGTTGAAAATGTAGGTGGGTGTTATATGTCCCACGGGTCCGAAAATGGTTTGGAAAACACCAGAACATTTCATTTTAATATACTGAGCAATATATATGTATTCTAGCTGTCCTGCTGAAGAAAGGACTTTGAGAAAAACTTTTTAGGAGTTAATAGAAAATGTTAGGTCCAAGTATGGTGTGCTGTCTTGATGTGCTTGTCATGTTAATTTAAAATTAACCTCGTTATTTTTTCGAATTATATGACTCTTACAGGTCAACTGGTTAAGATGCTGCTTTATACAGAGGTTACTCGTTACCTGGATTTCAAAGTAACTGAAGGGAGCTTTGTCTATAAGGGAGGAAAAATCTATAAGGTTCCTTCCACTGAAGCAGAAGCCTTGGCATCTAGTAAGTTTATTTTATTTTCTCAAAATAAGGTTTTATAATGGAAAGGAAGCTGAAGAGAGAAAGCTTAAATACGGGCTTGGCCATCCATGCATTCTTTCCTCCAGTCAGCAAATAATTGCTATGTGTTGGTTACTATGTTAGGTAGTGGGATGGATGTATTAGTGAATTGTGAATTAAATATGAAAAATCGACTTTTTTGAAGCCTATTATTTAAACGACTATCTAGAAATAAGTAGCTTGTTGTGGTTAGATCTGATACTGTAGATCTAGTAGTACTCTAAAAGTTCATATTAGCTCTTTCTTTAAACTTTACCATTGCTAAGTTCCATGCTAAATAGTTCACTTTTATTTTCATATTTAACTTTGGAAATCATTTTATGGGCAAGAAAACTTAGGCTTGAAATCACACAGGAACTGTCAGAAGTGGAATCGAAGCTGGCAGCATTTCTCCTGCAGAGCTGATGTCCAGCTTCCAATCATTTTGCTCAGCTAGCTCTCCTTGGGCCTCAGGATCTAACCCACCCAAATGAAAAGACCGCCATCTGCTGACACTCATCTCTGAGTTGGTGCTGGTATCATTCCTCAACGTTTGTTTTTGGGAATTCCAAGTCAGTGTGAAGTGATTTTGTCCCTTTCTCGCTCATTGAAATTCTTGTTAACTATTAGTTCTTGTATCTTCCTTCCCTTCAAGGTGCTTTGGTCACTGTGAGAGCAATTTGAGGCAGGTTAACTATACAAAGGAGAGAAGCTGTGTGCATAATAAGGGCTTTAAGAGCTTATAGAAGGGTTAGGCTTAGATTGGGAGGATAAGAAAAGTGCTTTTAAATTCTTTAGTAATTTTCACATCGGTGTTGAAAGCTCTCTTATTTGCAAGCCAAATTTAAATAATTTTAGCTGTTTTTCTAACTTCACTTATTTATTTTGTATGATTAGGAAAGTCAATATTGGACATAAAATATTTTGAAAGATGCTATTCAGAAAATAACTCCTAAGAATTGTGGACTTGGTTACATAAAAGAAACCGTAATAGCTAACACTATAGACATCTCAATTGGTTCAGCTTAAAATATTCTAATGGAAAAATTTTAAGTTGAGCAAACCTTCTATTCATTGGTTGCCAAAACTTGCATCCAGATAAGAGCTGCAGATAAGAGTTTTCAAGTTAATTTTAAAACAGTGGGATTAAGATCCTAAAGCATTTCTTGGAAATTTTTTATCTGAAGTTGAAACATGATTTTACCAGGATTAGTTCAAAGCAAAAGCAGACCACTCAAGAGCAAGGGTCTTGACAACAGTTTGGGGCGTGCTGAGGCATTTTGCTAGTTGACTCTCTAGAGGGCCAAGGAACAGTAACATCTTTTCATGAGTGTGCTCTGAGACAGCAACCCCAAATTAGAAGAAAAACACCCTGGAACACTATACCAGCGAGCCCTTTACCATGGCAGTGCTCTGACTCATTCCTCTGGTCAATCAAGGGCAATTCCTCAAGCGTTTCAAGGGAAAACCTATTACGCTATTATTGGGCTCTTTCTGATTTCTTTTTAAAAATTACTTATTTTTCTATTCTGATTTCTTTTATTTTTTTAATCTTAAAAAGTCTTTAAAGGGCACCCATTTCTCCATAGTTACGACTATAAAAAAGACTGCATAGTTAAACTCTGAAGATCCTCAGTTCTTTATAGACAGACCAAATGGCTGGTAGCATCACTTACAAACGTGACTTGACGATGGAGCTTATGTTAAGATATTGTTTTTATTTTTTATTTTTATCCTGTAATTCTAATTTTCCATGAACTTTTTGAAGTCCCCTTATACTCGAGTACATAATCCTGTTACAGAGATTTTCCCCAAAACCTTTTATCACATGTGAATATAATACACTGTAGTCTTTTTATATTCACTTCCATTGTATGTTAATTTGTGGATTAAAAAACATGTGTTGAAGTCTATATATTAGCTTACCCTTGTTTGTAGGTTTGGGGCTAGGAAAGCTTTAATAGAAAAAAAACCTTAACATTTTTTTTACTTTTGGAACTTAACGAAATGTGGAGAAGTATATTAGATGGTGATAAGTACTACAGAGAAAGAAAAAATAAAATGGATAGAAGTTTAGGGGAAGAGAGTTTTATTATGGTGATTAGGGAAGGCGTTCTTCCCTCGTGATGTAGGAAGCAATTTACTATTTGAGCCTTTCAATTACAGATATTTTGAGTGTATCTGTGAAAAGTTTGTATCAGCAGTGCTATCGAGTTCTGAAGCCTTACCAGCTAGAAACGGAGAGCAGTAGCGTGGTAAGCGCACAGCAACAAAACTCCAGATAGCAGGGAGCATGTCTTTACTGTGCCTTAGGTCTGTTCTATTTTGCTGTCAGGCTTAAAGATTAGGATGAGCAGAACAGAAGGAAATTGAAGAAAATAATAGATTATAATTTTGATTAATTAAAAGAAATAGTTATGCTATTCCAGAATAAACTGTTGGTGTCCACACCTGAGTTTTAAGTGTATTTGAATAATTTCTTTAGTTTGCTTTTGACAGTCTTACTTCTACCCCTGATCATTAACCTTCTGTCTTAAGATAGTGCTAATGTAGGTAGTAGCGGAAGACAGGCCAACAGGGTTAGGACTGACTGAAGTATAAAGTACTTGCCCTTTAAATCTGATGTAAATGTGGCATCACTTTGAACTGATTGCCCCGACCACTACTTAGTATTGGGTCAGATTGTAAACGTATTGGGTCAGATTGTAAACTCATACAGACCTGGACTCTGTTTTCACATTATGCCTTCACTGTAGCTATATTCAGCCCCACCCCACCCCCCCCCCACGCCCTTTTTTTTAAAGCTGTATTAGGAATCTTAATTTTTAAAATAATTACTTTAATAACATTTTGAAGTCTTGTGATTGTTTTAAATTTAGTTTTATTGGCTTCAACTATTAAATAGTCTTGAGGGAAAATAATATTAAAAATACCCAAACATTAAACTGTCAACAGATATAAAAGAACTGTTTGGAAATTTTCCTATTTTGAAAACCATAGTTGTTTTAAAGTAATTGTATAGTTTAGGAAAAGGAACAGAAAGAGGTGAAAACAAAACTATGTTTTTCCATTACCTATTTGGTTTTTACCCACTATATACTGTGTACATTTTTTAAAGTTTAGATTGGTAACCCGGACTAACGCAGATGGGCTGAATATATACGCAAAACAGGCATACGGCTAAAAAGAAATACTTAGTTGGGGCTTTTTTTTTTTTTAAATCGTTTTATTAGGGGCTCATACAACTCATCACAATCCATACATATACATCAATTGTGTAAAGCACATGTGTACATTCATTTTCCTCATCATTCTCAAAACATTTCCTCTCCACTTAAGCCCCCGGCATTAGGTCCTCATTCCCCGCTCCCCCTGCCTCATGAACCCTTGATAATTTATAAATTATTTTGTCATATCTTTCCCTGTCCGACGTCTCCCTTCACCCACTTTTCTGTTGTCCATCCCCCAGGGAGGAGGTCACATATAGTTCCTTATAATAGGTTCCCTCTTTCCAACCCACTCTCCCTCTACCCTCAGTTGGGACATTTACAAAACAAGTGTGAATACAAACTAATGGGAAGAGCTAAGGGTTTTTAAAGTACTAATTTTCTCCTTATCTGCTTTTTAATGTATTAAAAGCAATTAACCGATTTTTCTGGAACGTCATAAAGTAAATACTGTATATACTCATGTATAAACCGAGTTTTCAGCACATTTTGAATGCAGTTTTGTGGTAAAATTAGGTGCCTCGGCTGAAATTTGGGTCGGCTTATACTCGAATATATACGGTAGTTAGGAGTATAATCAGCATCTAAGGCTCTGTGTGCAGCTTGTTCTTGAACCTGCGTGGCTTTTCTCTTACATGTCGGCATGTTGCTTAGCTCGTAGAAAAGGACAGGAAAGGCTTTGGCTCTGGGCTGAGTACAGCTCCTATTTGTCACAAGGGCATCCAGGTGGATGCCTTCATCGATAACTTCTCAGTCGTTACTTACCTTGTACTTGGTAGAAGATGTGGTTGGACTTCTTACCTTTAACTAGGTATTGATAATTACTTGTAATTATAATTTTAAATGGAACACTTTATAACCGTTGTTGTAATTATCCCATCTAGTTTTTAACAAATGTGAAACTGGAAGCCATGTTATCCAAACTCCTATATCTTATGAATGAATAAGAACACAAGTTTAATATAACATAGCCTATTTTAAGATTTCCTTTTATAAATTCCTTTTAATCAGTATCTTATTGTGAAAATTCTTTCTTAGGCTTAATGGGACTATTTGAAAAACGTCGATTCAGAAAATTCCTGGTGTATGTTGCCAACTTCGATGAAAATGATGCTAGAACTTTTGAGGGCGTTGATCCTAAGAAGACTACAATGCGAGATGTGTATAAGAAATTTGACTTGGGCCAAGATGTTATAGATTTTACTGGTCATGCGCTGGCACTTTACAGAACTGATGAGTAAGTCTCGCTGTCCTTGAACTGCCCAACTCTCAAAGAAAAAAAATTAGCAGCAAACACCATGTTACCCTGTGAAAGGAGGTGGGTCTGGTGACCTTCCCGAAGATGAATGTCGGAACTGTTAAAGAGAAATATGTTGGGCAGTAGAATAAGATCCTTCCAGGGGGAAAAAATTGAGAACAAAGAATTAAAACTAAAATTCTAATACTCATTTACTTTTCTCCAGTTATTTAGACCTACCCTGCTGTGAAACCATTAGTAGGATTAAACTTTACAGTGAGTCCCTGGCCAGATACGGCAAAAGCCCATACCTTTACCCTCTTTATGGCCTTGGAGAGCTGCCGCAGGGGTTTGCGAGGTAAGGACCCCATATTTAAGTTGTTACTAATCCTGAAATTAATCTTCAACTCAAGTGTCTGAAGTATGATTGTGAATAATGAGATGAGAAATAGCTGTGAGTAATGAGGTGGTTTTTCTACTTCATGTTTTTTGTTTAAAATTATAGTTAGAGGATACATACTAAAACCCACTCCCTCAACAGTTTCCACATATACAGTTCAGTGATATCTAGCACACTCAAGGTTTGCAACCCTTCTATTTGTTCCAAGTGCCATCAACAGCAACATGAATGTGAGAGCCCTGGTGGTGCTGTGGGCAAGCACTGGGCTATAGTAGCCGCAAGGTCGACGGTTCAAACCCGCCAGCCGCTCTCTGAGGGAGATCTCACTCTAAATAGCCTCGGAAACCTGTGGGTTGTTGAGTCACATTCTGCTCAATAGTGATGGCGCCTTGTGAACTTAAACTTAATTCAGAAGCACAAAATTCTCCCTCCTTCCCTCTTCCTCCTCATCCCATTTAGCTACTAATCTTTGGTTTTTAATATATTTGCTTGTTTCAAATTTTATAGTATATCTTTTTGTGACTGATTTAATACAACATATTTTCAAGGTTCAACCATGTTGTGGCATGTATAAAGACTTCCTTTTGTTTTATGGCTGAGTAGAACTCCATTGTATATAAAAACCACATCTTGGTTATCCATTTTATTTATGAATGGACATTGCTATTTCCACCTGGTTGACTGTCGTGAAAGTACTTCGTTGAACCTTGGTGTTCAGGCTTATTCAGTTTTACCCTCCCTCCCCGCCCCTCTCCCTCCTGAGCCCTTGATAACTTAGACATTAATATTATTTTGTCATGTCTTACACTGTCATGTTGTACATGAGTGCCTAGCTTTCACAGCCTCAGTCATGGGCTGGTTTTCTACTGGTTGATGTTTTTCATTATGCCTCTACCAATGGCCCACGCATCTAGCAACTGGTGTCATTTTGAAGAATAATGTGATCTGACCCAAGCCATAGTGTCTTCAGTCGCCTCAAATGCATGTGAAAGTTGAAGATGATAAATTAGACCAGAAAATAATTGATGCATTCGAATTGTGGTGTTGGCAAAGACTGTAGCATAAAGTGTTGTGGCATTTTGTCAAATGCCTGTATCAATTGATGTGATGTGGACTGCTGGAAGAACAGACAAATCTGTCTAGGAGGGATACAACCAGTATGCTCCTTAGCATCAAGAATGGCAGGATTTCACTTGGCATACACTTTGGACATGTTCTCAGGAGGGAGAGACTACTCCTTGGAAAAGGACATCATATTTGTGGTTAGGTAGGTCACCCTAAAAGACCCTCAAGAAAAGGGGGCTCACGGATGGCAGTAATGATGAGGGTGGCAGATTGGGCACTGTTGTGCACTGAACTAACTCGGCTGTCACCAACACTGTGTACCTGCCATGGCACCAATACCGGACAGTGAGAGGCCTCTCACTTCCTTGTTCTTTACCAGTGCTGTGTTTATCCTGTCTCATCTTTCTAGAAAGTTAGTGATACATTTACTCCAGCTTTTTAAAGAATGAAGCTGGGATCCAGATTAGGATTGCATTGTTTATAGGTTACTTGTGTATATTGACATTTTTCACAATGTCTCTCTACCCATGAATGTGGTATATTATTCCATTTATGTAGGTCTTTAGATTTCAGTCGTGTTTATTTTCTTTGTACAAGCCTTTTGTCTCCCTGGTTAGATATATTCCTAAGTATCTTATCTTTTTTTCCCTTTTTGTAAATACTATTTTCTTGATTTCCTGTTTTAGAGCTTTCTTCATTAGTATGTTGATCTTGTACCCTACCAGGTTGCCAACCAAATCCTAACCCTTCAGTTAGTTTTACCAATTTGCTTGTTGGGTGGGTCTTTGGAGTTTCCTACATGTTGAAATCATGTCATTGGCAAATAGAGTTCTTCTTCAGTCTGGATGTCTTTAAGTTGTTCTTTTTGATGTCTAATAGCGCTGATTGAGACTTCTAGCACAATGTTGAATTTGAGTGGTGGTAATAGGCATCCTAATCTGGGCTTTTCAAAAGGGGTATCATTTCAGTTTCTCCTCATTGAGTGAGCTTGGCCTTTGGTTTTGCATATATGCCCGTTGAAGAATTTCCCTTCTATTCCCATTTTGTTGAGTGTTTTCATCAGGAATCATCATCTATGATGTTTCATCATGATGCATCTATGTTTCATCATAGATTTTCTCAAGTGCTTATAGCAATTGCTGTGATCATGTAGTTCTTCTTGTTTTATGTGGTGGATTACATTGTTTTTCAAAGGTGAGCCATCCTTGCATGCCTAGGGTGGACCTCATTTGATCGTGACATAATTTTTTTTAAGTGGATTCTATTGGCTAGAATTTTGTTGAGCGTTTTTGCATCCATATTTTTAAGGATATTGGTCTGTTATTTTCTATTATGAATATTTCTCTTCAAATATGTTTGATTACTTAGAAGGCCTTTCATTGGGTACATAAATAGTTGTCTTGTTCATTTGTTGTCCATTTGATCCTTATGTAGCATTGTTTTTTGATTTTGTCTTGAAGTCTGTTTTTATCTGAAATCAACATTGCCACATCCTTTGTTTCTAAGGTGCCTTTCTTGTAAGCATATCGTTTTTTTACTGATTCTGCTACTCGAGTGGTGCATTTAATTCATTTTTACTGTTAAGTATGAACTTACTGCTGTGTGTACGTGTGGTCGTGTTGGTTTCTTGTTCCTCTTAAGTTTCTGTACTTCTGTATTGAGTTCCTTTTTTGTGGGGTTTTCTTGTCTCCAACCCAACCCCTCCCCTCGCTTCTTTTGCTGCTGTTTTGCTGTGGGCTAGGCATGGGCTGCTAACTACAAGATGGTAATTCAAACCCACCAGCTACGTGAGGCTATTTTCTCCCAAAGATTTGGTTTTGGAGATCCTGAGTAGTAGTCTGTTCAGTTGTATTAAGGTTGTTATTAATTGGAATCAACTTGATGTCAGTGAGTTTTTTGTTTTTATTTTGAATAACTCATTAAGTTCTAAGGAAGACTAATCAGAATTAAAATAATTTTCTAGGCTAAGCGCTATTTATGGGGGTACCTACATGCTGAATAAGCCAATTGAAGAAATCATTGTGCAAAATGGAAAAGTGATTGGTGTAAAATCTGAAGGAGAGGTGAGTAGCTTTTACAATTTAAAAACATTGTTTTCACAAAGAAAATCATATGATCTGATAAGTACTTTGGCCGGTCCTGTGCCATCTTCACAATTCTTGCAGGATTTGAGTTCGTTGTTGCAGGCATGATACCCCTTCATCTTGCTGATTTTTCATGGACCCTTTTCTAGTTTACCAAGGATGCTAGCCTTTAATCAGCAGTTGGCTTATGATGACTGAGCTAGTCTCACCCTCAATTGTGAGAAACATTTGGGCTTGTGGCTCTGGCGCTCCAAGGCTGGTTCAGTACTCATAACCAGTGCCCCCATAGGAGGGCTTCGATTCTTTGGTCTTCCTTTTTTATTGTCCAGCTGTCACATGCATGCTTATGATTTGAAATGCCACGGTTTGTGCTGGCTGTGCCTTAGTCCTCACAGTGACAACTTTTATTTTTATCACTTTAAAAGTAGATTTGCCTGATGCAGTATGCCATTGATTACTGCTTTCATGGGCATTGATTGTTGGCCTAAGAATACAATCCTTGAGAACTTCCATTTCCCCTCCTCCATTTATCTTGATGATTAGAATTTTCACTTATGCTGGGTATCAGCTTTGTCTAGTTTGTCATCTGATAGGCAATTTTTAAATGATTTTTTAAAAGTCTTTGTAATAGTTTAGGTAAATGTTTATAGAGCAAATTAGTTTCAGTTCAACTTTTGCACATTTTGTTGAGAGCCTTAGTTGAAATTTTTCAGTGTAACAGCACTTTTCCCATTTCCTCCCAGGCTGTTTACCCTTTCCATTAATCCATTCCTGTTTCATGTTCCCAACTCCTCTTTTGTCAAATGATGCTTTTGCTATTGTTGGTTGTAATTAATAGGATCTTTTTTCTTAGCTTATATTTTATAATTAACCTCCCAACTTCTTTATAGCCTTTTCATCTATAAATGATTTAGAAACTGTAAAATATATCAGGTTTTATTGATAACGTTCATTGTAAGATTCTAGTAATGCCAATTTAATCTTTAGCTGTATGGGGAATGGTAGGTAGTCCTCGTTTACCCTTTGGGTCTAAAAGGACTCATCTGCCTTCTCCCTCCTTTTTTCAATGCCCTCTTTGCAGCAGTCTTATTGTACATCCTGGTGTGAAGGTCTGTCCAGTTAGATGACTACGCAGGACCACCACCTTCTTTTTGTCCATAGAACTGTTTTTCTTTCTCTCGTGTCAGACGGATAATGTGCCGACTTGTAACAAGGATTAAGGGAGGCACGTATCACACAAACGCGTGAAGACCCAATCGTCATACCAGTGCACCAGAAAAGGATCAGAATTGTTCTTTCATCGCCTTTGTTTGAGAAAGTGATCTAGATGTTGTCATCAGAAGACGCATAGTCTCATACTTCACCTGCTTAATGAGTTTCAGCATTATCAGAGTCTAGCGTGCTGGTGTCCATTCCTATGCGTCTTTTCGTTTGTGTACGAAGTGGGAAACATTTCCTCTATTTTCTTCTTTCAAAAATGCCGAATTGTTGGGTTAATTGACAGCTAACTACCAAAAAATGGTGCCTGTAGTCTTTTATAGGTTCTTAAAAGATAAATTATGCCCTTATAAGAGGATACGATGTTTGGGGTAGTGATTCATTCTACCCTTCTGTTACTAATTCCTAGGATTATGATCATTGAAATTCGATCCCCAGCCCGCATTCCCACCTGTGTTCTTTTGGGATGACATGTAGGAAAGAACGAAAGTCATGAAATACAAACCTTTACAGATAATTATGTTCATACATAGATTCCTGGTGGTATTTAAAGTGTGTTAAAAGACCACAAATGTACGTTCGGTAACTTTTGTTATTGTTAGGTCCACTTTAACAAGCATAACGGCGTTTAGGAGGTGGGGATACGCAAAACGCTGTCTCAAAGTCCTTTTAATTCCAGAGCTTCCTTGCACCTCATTCTTCACTGCACATAGATGCCGCTCTTCGAAAACTTAATGGACTTTGACAGGAGAGAGAAGGAGGTGCTACCACTATAAATTTTGTAGGTTATATATACCATTGATCTTGCAGCTAATATTTTCTTTGGGGGAAGCATAGCCTTAGGAAGATAGCAATTCCTTCTGATAGTTAGACCAGCTATTCAAACATTTGTAGATAAGGTACAATTAAATAGTATGACAATCCTTATGTACACAATTAACTTGAATCATCACAGTAATCCTTTGAGTTGGGTGAACCCCGATCTGCCCAGTTCTGAGATGTGTGTTTCTGGACACTGTGCAATGTAGTTGTTTGTTTTCCCAAATAAGGTTTAGAGTCTGTGTTCAGAGAGAACGTATAGGAATCACTAGAAAAACTATTTCTGCCTGATAAGTAAAGATCTGTGCTAATTAGCAAACTTAGGATTACAAATTTGCATTCCAGATTTATAGACCCTCACATTCCAAGTCATTTAATTATCCCTTTTCTAATTACTGTGTGAAATTGAAGTCTACCATGGGGTGAAGTTCTGGTGATATACTAGGATGTTTATTACATATTGATGGAAAATTAAATATGACATTTCTGCAAATGTTTGTGCTTCTAAGTAAAATTAAATCCTATGGGGGGGGGGGAAACTATTTCTGGCCTTCATCTGTAGTCTAGTCCAATAAATTCTACACTAACTTTTATATTTATTAGATTCAATGTACTGTTTAAAATTTTTGCAGACATTGAATATTATATCCAAGTTTTTAATGTTTTGTTACAGATTGCTCGCTGTAAGCAGCTCATCTGTGACCCTAGTTATGTAAAAGACCGGGTACAAAAGGTGGGCCAGGTGATCAGAGTTATATGTATCCTGAGTCATCCGATCAAGAACACCAATGATGCCAACTCATGCCAGATCATTATTCCACAGAACCAAGTCAACCGGAAGTCAGGTGAGTTTTGATGGCCACTAGGACTTTGGTAGAATAATTTGCTTGGTATTTCATCCCAATTTCCTAATTTTATATGTTGCATTTCAGTGAAGAGACATTAGTTCAACTGTAGAACTTAAGAGGGTAGGGATGAAGACAGCCAAGCCCGTACGCTCTCGTGACCTCACTGCATGGATGGCATGGCTGCTTTTTGTCATTATATGTCAACTGAATGTTTTTGAAATCTTTTTTTTTAATACTTTTATTGGGGCTCTTACACCTCTTATCACAATCCATATATTCATCCAGTGTGTCAAGCACATTTGTATCATTATTGAAATCATTCTTAATCTATTTGCTTTAACTGTGGTATGTAGATGGTCTTACTTAGTATCTAAAATTCAACTTAAAGGGAACGCAAATGTTATCTGCAGTATCTTTTTTTTTTTTAGCCCTATGAAGATAACCAATCACAGATATCACAAAAGCAAACAAGTGTGGGGTGTAGCTTCAGTCGTTCCCAGGCATGGTCTCTGGGTCTGGGAGACGGCATAACTCCAGAAAGGAGTCCGAAAGCTAGTTCTTGTATTGGGACTTTTAGTTGTGCTGAAGGAGTGGTGTTCAGACAAAGTAGCATCTCTGTAATTATATTAAGTGTATTATGTCAACTAAGGAATACTTTATATTAATCTCTAATCACGTGTTACTGTAATAAATGGAAAAATCAATCTTTAGCTATCCAGCACCATTTCTAATGCAGAGTACAAAGAGGGAAAAGTTAAATGTTTTAGCCAGGAATTGTACTACTACCTATGACGGCTGGGAAGAGACCAATAATGTATTGCCATTGAAATCTGAACAATTCCAATTGTTAAAAAATTGAGTATGTTATCTATGGCCCTGTTCACTGTCATGTAGAATACAAGCTTAGAAGACACTATCCGTTCCAGAAAGATCATAACTCACACCAGGGTGAATCGGGTGAAACCTAGGTGTACAAGTGTTTGTCTTAAGGTTCACAAAGTTGAGGAAATGAGATGACTTCATTTGTCTCTAGATATCTATGTCTGCATGATTTCTTCTGCGCACAATGTGGCAGCACAAGGGAAGTACATTGCCATAGTTAGTACCACTGTGGAAACCAAGGAGCCCGAGAAAGAAATCAGACCAGCTTTGGAGCTCCTGGAACCAATTGAACAGAAGTAAGTGACACATTCACATTTAAGTCAGTTCACATACTGATGGAACTCATTGGATCTGGGCCCCCTGGCTGGGTGAGCATGAGGAAAATGGCTGCTATTTTCCTATCTCTACCAGTCTTGTCCTATTAGATTTTGAAATTCACACAGAGCAATGGTTGAGGATGGGGCCTGCTAACCTCTTATTTGTCCTCTCCAGATTTGTTAGTATCAGCGACTTGCTTGTACCAAAAGATTTGGGAACCGAAAGCCAGGTGAGTGTGGAGTCAGAAATAAGTATCATAAGGCTTTACTGGGGAGACTTCCTTAAAGAGGCTTATGTCTTGTAATTTTTATTTCCAGATCTTTATTTCCCGTACTTATGATGCTACAACTCACTTTGAGACAACCTGTGATGACATTAAGAACATCTATATGAGGATGACAGGATCAGAGTTTGACTTTGAAGAAATGAAGCGCAAGAAAAATGACATCTATGGGGAAGACTAACAGCAGTACATGTTGCTATCTAACAGAACAGATTTACAATTTGGCAAACAATGCATATTGTATGAAATCAATATTGTAAGGCCTGCTTTTGTAATCAGAACTGAGATATTGAAGAGTACTATATCAGTAAATATTCCTCCCTTCATCTTTTTAATATCATGTATTAACTTTTTCATGGAGTGGCTATTGAGAATTGGCAGGTTACCATGTTCTGTTCCATTTAACCCAGGATGGGCTTCCCCGGCCCCCTAGTGAAGAAATCGTTTTAAAACAGCATTGTGATACTGATACAGAGATCTTGATACAGTATTTGGGTCTTTCCATCAGTGTAACCTCTGCAGTCATGTGCAGGGCTGGACCAGTACACAGAACAACCCATGGTGCCACCTGTCCTCTTGACATTAAGGAGATTCTAAATTCAATATTTCATATTTGGGAAAGCATCCCTCACGTTTTCCACATAACTTTACATTTTGTGTTAAGTATTATGACAATGCCCAAACAGCATAGCCACAAATTTGGTTTATGAGGGCACAGAATTCTAACCAAACAACTGATTTTGGGAGTCATTTGGGGGATGCCTCTGTGGCTAATGGCTCCATATGGTGTTTCAATCTACTAGATTAAAGTGGTAAGAAACCTAACATCAAGCAGGTGAACCGTAGAAGCATCTTTTATATCCCAGGTGTGGCTTCTTCAATGGACCAAGCTGCAATGCAGTATTGACCGAGCCTCTGCTTCCATGATGTCTCCCTCAACATGGCTCCACATGATTTCTGTACTGCAAAATAAAGCCAAACTCTGGAAACCAATACTGTGGCACTGTTCATTGGCCTTTCGGTGCCAGCGTTTAAGACGGCTACTGCTTACATCCTTCAATAGAGCTGAAACTTGCCAGAGATCTCAGAGTGAAAAGATAGACTCAGTAGCTGAGTATATATGCACGTTCTAGCTTAAATGGAGGATAAGAAGTCCATCACCTGGCTTCACTGAGTAGATCCCAAATTATATTCTTGACTGACCATAATTTGTTCCACACAAATCCAAGTACTGCCGTAGATAGTTTGCCTATAGCAAAATCATGAGTGCGTTATTTAATATTTCACACAACTGATGCTATAATTTTTGCTGGTCACTCTTTCCCCCCTTTGATAGTTATATATAGAGAAATATATGCTATTTCCCACACATATTAAGAACCTTTAAATTTTCCCAAACGGAATTATAACTCGGAGCCCTGGTGGTATAGTGGGTTATGCATTGGGCTGCTAGCCACATGGTCAGCAGTTTGAAACCACCAGCTGATCAGTGGGAGGAAAACGAGGCTTTTTACTCCTGCAAAGATTTAAGTCTCGTAAACTAGCAGGGGCAGCTCTGCCCAGGCTATGTAGGGTCCTGTTGAATCGGAATTTGGATGCAGACAGATCCAGAATTGGGAAAGTAATTTTGGTGGGTATTTAGATATCGAAGGGATTGTTTTAATCCCTGGACACCTGGGTTGAGAACTGTCCTGTATGCTTGGGTACTCAGCATCTCTGGCCTCTACCTACTAGATGCCAATAGCACCTCTAGTCAATGTCTCCAGATACTTCGAGGGAAAGTTACTCACATAGGATCCACTACCTTAATTGTACAGTTAAATTACCTAAAATTCCAGGAAATGCTTCCTTGCACCTCATATTACTTCATATTGTGAACCATTAATGTAGGCAAAGGCATAAGCGGAGTTAGTAACAAGTGAATGGAATAAACTAAAACATTCACATTTTATCCACTGAGTTGACTAAGGCATAATTTCTGGAGAGCTGATTCATAGCCTAAGGGTGGCATTAATGTGGTTTAAGTATTGAAACTAAAAAAGGTGGTATGTAAAACCAAGAAGATGGGACTTACAGGTGCCTGAAGGCCTTGTATATAAACTGTCACTTCTCGAACTGAAATCCCATATGATCTAGCAACATCACTGTTAGGCATGTCCCCTAAAGAAATACAGGGACAACAAGTAGATGCATGCTCTCCTGTGTTCATAGTACAGTTCACAAAAGCAAGAAACTGGAAACAGCCTAAATGTGTTAGAATGGATAAGCTATGGTACAGTCACCCAGTGGAATACTAGGCATCCCTAAAACAGAAAGCACGAAGGACCTGGAAACCATTATGCTGAGTGGAGTCAGTCACAAAAGGACATTAATGTACTATCAGGCAAAACATTCTTAGGGACCAATACTGAACAAAAGGGGAGGAAAGGCTACCTACAGGCACTGAACTTCCCTTATTTGCACTTCACAAGACTCACCTTGGAGGTGGCCACCTCATTTTCTGGGCTCCAGGGGAGAAAGGGAGAAGACCACCCACTTGATGCTATACAACAGGAAGGCCAGGCTGTGACATCAATGGGCCCTCCACAGGACTGGAAGGAGAACCTTGCTGGAAAATAACCAAGTTAAGACCAGGGGACAGGAGCATTTATTTACATTTTGGAGAAGACACTGGTAATTTCTGTTGGTGAGTATGGTGGGTGAATGGGGAGAAGCAATCTCATTGAGAAGGGATGTTAAATGATTCTAAGAAACCTAGGGGGACAATGGACCAGATAGTATGTTCCTGGGTAGACACTTCAGATATGTTTCTACCCAACCCTCAGTGAACCACGCCAAGGACTAAGCATGGGATGATACGGGTCAGACCTTGGCAGGCAGCAAGCAGCATAGCATAGCCCAGGATAACCCAGGGACTATACCAGGACAGCATAGAGGCTCTACTGAATGAACTAAGCCCCACTTCAAAGATGCCTACATCCTTGGTCTGGGGAACTGATCGGGGAGGAAGCAGAGAATGGGCACCTCAGGACTGCAGGTGGTGGTCGTTACACCTTGGGAGGAATCGCTGGCTTGGTGGATGTCCAATGGAAAGAGCCCCATGTATTTAGTTCGGGTCATGGTGGAACTATACTCCCGACTCCTGCATATCAATAGAGCCTGGAGCTCTGTCATTGGAAAAATTGTTGGTGTTATTAGTGTAATTGTCTTATACTCCAGGGGATGATTGATAATGGTTTAGTTTTCGTTTCTGTGGGTTTGTGTTTTCCTGCCTTTTGTGTGATCTTGTTTTTATTACCTTTTTTCGTTTGCTGGTTGGTTTGTTGCTGTTGTTGGTATAGTTGGTCTTAAAGGGTTTTGATTTTGTCGTAATACGACTGTCAAATCAAACCAGAGTCAAGCATAACCTGTGGACAACCAAGTGGATTCTGAGCTCCCACTTAACTCGAGCCCCAATCCAAGAACAATTCTGGTAATGACCCTGCTCGAGACTCACCTTCAAGAAATGATCACTGAAGGTAGGGTGCTACAGAAAAGTGAAGAAAGCAGATGGTTATCAATTGGAATAGTGTCTGGGGTCTTAAGGGCTTGTATTCAAACAAGCAGCCACGTAAGTGAGGAGTCCACTAAATCCACATGGAAGAAGTACCTCAGTTTGTGTGATCCACAGATGACAACAAAAGCCAAATATGGGAAAAGTATCAGAGCTGAAATTGTGAACACCTAATTTGTAGAAGGCTATGGAGGACATTGGCAAGAATCTGGTCATATTATGCCTCTGGCAGGTCTCTAGCCACAAAGGACTCAAACAGCTTTACTATCAGACAGATCACTGTAAACTGGATTATTATGGACTGAACTTGATACTTGATCAGTTGACCTCCCTCTTGACCCAACCTGAATTGTTCTAGACTCAAGTATTTCTTGTCTGTTCCATGACAAAAATTTATTCCCTGGCTTTTAAAACATTGATGGTGTTTTTTTTCCTTTACTCATTATTTGTATTTTTACATTGCTATTATTACCACTGTTTTGTTTTTATTGTTTCTGTTGGGTTTCCCAGTTTGTGAAGCACAAAAGGAATAGAAGCATACAGTTAATAACTGATGCAAGGGTTTAAAGGGGAGGGGGGGGAGTTAGGGAGGGAAAAGGGATTAGGGTAACAAACCATGCAGGAGGGGAGGGAGCACTAGAACTGAGTGAGACCATACAACTCATTTTAAAAGCAATTTAACCATAGGTAGCAGATGGACATTGGGCCTCAACTCAAGTACCCCCTCAATGCAAGAACACTTTGTTTAATTAAACTGGCATTCCATGATGCTCACCTTCCTGACACGATCGCTGAAGACAAATTGGTGCAGAAGCAAATGTGGTGAAGAAAACTGATGGTGCCCGGATATCAAAAGATAGCGCATCTGGGGTCTTAAAGGTTTGAAGATACACAAGCAGCTATCTATCTGAGAAGCAACAAAGCCCACGTGGAAGAAGCACACCAGCCTGTGTGATCGCGAGGTGTTGATGGGATCAGCAATCAGGCATCAAAAACCCAGAACAAAAATTTTTATCAATGAGAATGAGGGGAAGTACGGAGTAGAGACCCAAAGCCCATGTGTAGGCAACTGGACATCCCCCTACAGAAGGGTCTTTGGGAGGAGACAACCCAGTCACGGTGCAGTGTAGCAACGATTAAACACAACTTTCCTCTAGTTCTTTAATGCTTCCTCCCCACCATCATTGATCCCAATTCTACTTTACAAATCTGGCTAGACCAGAGGATGTACACTGGTACAGATAAGAACTGGGAACACAGGGACTCCAGGACAGATGAACCCTAGGACCAATAATGAGAGTATTGATACCAGGAGGGTAAGGGTAAGGTGGGGTAGAAAGGGAACCAATCACAAGGATCTATATATAGCCCCCTCCTGGGGGATGGACAACAGAAAAGTGGGTAAAAGAAGACATCAGACAGTATAAGACATGGAAAAGTATAAATTATCAAGGGTTCATGAGGGTGGGAGAGGGAAGGGGCTAAAATGAGCCTGATACCAAAGGCTCAAGTAGAAAATGTTTTGAGAAAGATGACAACAAATGGCCTTGACACGATGTATGTATGGATTGTGAAAAGCTGTATGACCCCCAATAAATTGGTTTATAATAAAAATAAAAGCAGTTTAGCCATGGAAGTATATAATATGTGAATACTTTATCAAGAAAAAAATGAAGAAGCAAAGAAAAGAAACCAAATGTGACCAGTGATTACGACAGGTGAAGGAAAACGTTGCATGGGGGCATTGTGTTTATGTTAATGGTGGTAGCGTAATTTGGAAAAGGATATCAATAGTGGCTGTACAGCACAAAGAGTATAATCAATGAGTGATTTACACAAGTAGAAGTTGTAGAATTGGAGAATGTTCTGTTGTGTATATTTTTCCCACAATTAGAAAAAAGTAATTACATGAATAACAATGACTATAAGAAGAAAATTCTACAGAATTGAATATGATGACAATTGTACAACTCTGAGGTAACTGAATTATTTGTGTGAAATGATGTGGATTAAGTGCTAATAAACTGTTAAAAACAAAACTGTCAGTTCTGAGAAAACAACACATACTAAAATTAGCATATTTGTCTAGGGGAGGAACTATACCAAGCAGACTGAATAAAAGATGTTTCTATATTTGAGTTGTGCTGGAGAAGAATAAAATATGGTAGACTGCTAGAAGGACAAACCAATCTACCTTGGGAGAAGTGTGGCCAGAGTGCTCCTTAAAGGCAAGATGGTATGACTTCTCTTACACACTTTGGCCATCCTTTGTCAGGAGAGACCAGTCCCTGGAGAAAGACATCATGTTTAGAAACATAAAGGGGCAGTGAAGGAGAGGAAGACCCTCCATGAGATGGATTGATACTGTGGCAGCAACAATGGGCTCAGGCAGAGGAACACCCCAGGACGGCGCAGGGCCAGGCAGCATTTTGTTCTGTTGTGCACAGGGGTGCGAGGGGTCAGAGCCAACTTTGGCACCTAGTAACACAAAGGAGCTTCATTCACAATGTTGGTGGGAAATGCATATCCTTTAATTCTACATTTCAAGGACTTTTTGAGGCGCTGCTTAAAGCCAAGTGAGAAATTTTAAGTGCACACTTGCTGCTCAGTGTACTTTAACTTTGGGAAGGCAGGTACACACGACAAAGCAGCGAGCTGGTCTGGTACAGAGACAAAACAGTAGGGCCAAATGCTGTAGATGGAAGGGATCCTTCGGAAGATAGTTTTCCATGCTAAATAATCTAAAAATTGATAACATTCTGTATAAAGTTAATTTTGCTGTAAAGTCACTGTGAAAACTATTGAGTGAAAAAAAAATTTAAGTTGTCTTTATTAAAAAAGGAAACAAATTAGTTACAAAAACTCTGCTCCAAATATATGTATCTTACAAACTCATTTCTTGGTTTTTTAAAGAGTACTGTAGAAATTATTTCTAATATAAATAATACAATTATTTCTTCTACAAGGTTGATTTTGTAGTGCACAATGTACAAAAACCAAGTAAGTGAAAAATGACAGTTTATAAATCTGTACCATTTTGGGTAAAAAGCTTAACTGTAGTGTTGCCTGAATATTGGTAACTGAATTCATTTATGATGACAGTTTTGCAAGAGCAATAAAACCTTTAAAAGAAACCATTACATGCATTACATATATCTGGCTGACATTACATTACCATGCCAAAAAAAAAGTGCTAATTCTTAAAAAAAGACTTATTTTTGCTTCAATTGAGTAAACATGTTACTATGTTTATTTTAATATTAATCTCAATTGATAGCTTTGAAGGCATTAAGAATGGAAATAACTTAAAATATTTGGATATAACACAGCAACCCAAAGACAACTACTATGGCATTGTGAAGCCACAATTTTTAAACTGAAATGGATAATTTCATTAGAGTATAAAACATTGAGTTGTTACAAATATGAGATGGTGGTTCATTTGTACTCCAGAGTTTTCCACAGAAAAGTGAAAATACTAATCCTTTGCCGTCATCTATGCCTGGGCAAGCTGCAGCTGAATCACCTGGATAAACACAAAATTAACAATTCTGTCTTTAAAACTACTAAGAAATATCGCAAAGGGAAGACAACATTAAGGATACATTATCTTTTCTCCTGAAAGCACAACTAAGCATCCATAAAGCAAATTGGGTGATGCAAGGTAATTCAGTTATTAATTATACTCCAGAAACTTTCATTTAAGCCAAACTAATAGCAGTTCTCACCCAAATAACCATTTTAAACTTATAGCATGATGTATATACAGTTCAGAGTTTTACAGACACATCATCTGCTGTAAGCAATTCCATTCAAATAGGAGAGAGATTAAAAAAATTTTCTTACCAATAGCTACTCCTAAATGGAGCTGCTACTTTTGGTATATTTTCAATAAAGGTATTTACATCTGTAACCAGGATTCCAATATTTTCAAACAGCTCTCTGGAAACAGCAGGTTTGTCTGCAAAAAGGAAAAAAAGCCATTTTGTGTGTGTGTGTGTGTGAGAGAGAGAGAGAGACAAGGAGCACTAGTACATATTTTTTAAAAGCAGAGGAACGTCATATAAAAAATGAATCTGGAGGCTCTAATAATTCAGGTAAAAAGACAAGTTTCTGGTTCAAGGTTAGGAAAAATATTTGAACCTTTACAAGCAGCTGCCTCCATGGGGCTGTGGTTGTGGCGTAGGTGGTGGTGATATACTGAAAATCACCAATCGCTACAGTCATTCTTTGAGGAGAATGGGACACTGGATAAAACTCAAATAAAACATAAGAGTATAAAGTAGATCAATACGAGCAGGAGCTGATGAAACTCAGGGGAAAGAACTGTATTAGGAGACTGTTAAACTTCACATAGTAAAATTCACAAGCAGCATTCCATCAACCCTGCACCTTAGGTGGATTTCCCAGCCCTGGGTTAAAAGTTCATTTTTGGTTGCCAGTGGGTAGACAGACTTACTTTATGGCATTCATAAGGGCACTTGAAAGAGCATTTCTAGAGCAGACCTATTTTGGTAAGAGCTGAATAAAGAAATCAGGCAGAACTCAGGTACGACTTTACCTGTCAGGAACACAGCCAGCCTCACATCAGTGCGCTGAACTTGCAGGTTTAACAGGCACTTCACATGCTCTGCTGTCGTTGGCAGCATAGCGTCACAATGGTGGTAAGGAAGCAATTCAACAATACTTGCACTCTGGCAGGATTTCACAATGGAGTTCTTTTTATGTGCCACAGGATCCGCTCTGAAAAACACAGAAATGTTAAGTTTAGGTTCCCATATACGTTTCTAATCATTTAGTGTGGATTAAATCGTAATTTTCAGTTTATTTCCCTGCTAAACTTCCCGGTATGCTTTCTTAACCACCTGTGTAAAAACATTCACTTCCGCAGTTCTCCTCTTGTCCCTTTTGTTCTTTTCCCTGAGACACATGGCGTCCTGCAAGCCTGGCAGTGACGGTCCTGTAGATGCTGTAAACAGCACCAGCCAACAAAAAACTACTGAACACTCAAACATGCCTTGTGAGAGAAAAGTCTGATACACACACTTTAAGGGAGTTGTTTGTTACAAAACTGCCGAAAACCATCAAAACCATACTTACTCTTTTTGTACAGATTTTAAATTACGGTCTTACTCCAATAGACCACATTGGCACCTTACTGTTGCTTGCCAAGTTTTTCATAAATTCTAGTAACATCTTTCTGCACCCTCTACTACAATAAGGCAATCGTTCCCAGCAGTCACTTCAAAACATCCACTCAATATGCATTATATATTTTCACAGATCACCATCATGTTCATTAGAATCATGATACCAGATCTTAATTTTTCACCTCCTTAAAATTTTTGCTACCTCAGATGGACATTGGGCTTCCACTCAAGTACTCCCTCAATGCAAGAATACTTTGTTCTATTAAACTGGCATTCCATGATGCTCACCTT